GGGACTCGCATCCCGCTACCTGCCGCAGCCTCGGGAGCCGCCTTGTGCTCATGCGGCTGCGCTTGCGGTGCTCAACTTGTTCTTTAGGGAAAAAAAAGTGTTATTTGCATATGCATTCCCAGTTTCTTCAGGTGAGGATACGTTACAGAGGGTTCGAAGGTATTAGCAGAGGTCATTTCCGAGCTGGGCCTGCGTAGGCAACTTTCAGTGCACACGTACAAGCCAGAGCTGGGTCTTTTCCACGGGGGAAATGGCATACCCGTCAGGGACGTGCCAACGTCCCCTTGGAAGCGGGAGGCTCTGCGTTCCGGGATCCTGACAGTGGCAGATGGCCACCTGGAAATGGAGGGCGCAGAACAGCCGTGGCCCTGTGGCTGGGGAACAGGAGTTGTAGCCCCGCAAAGGGAAGTTCTGCAGGTGCTGGGGGTTGGTTTAGTCCATCCACCCACGCTTTTGACATGAAGCAAGGAGCGATCACAATTTGTTAAACTCCTTTTTGACCAGTGATATATACATATATGTATATATCTCTCAGTATCTATTGATCCTAACATCCAGCATAGCTTGTGCTGAAGCCGATTACCTGAGCTGTATGAAAAGAGGAGCAGCAAGCCACAAACTCAAACAGGAGCCCAGCACCCCTGGGTTTAGGCAGCCTGCCACACGCTGTGCGGATTTCTTGAAAGAATAGGTGAGACGTATGTTGCAGGAGCCAAGGACTTCTTTTTGTTGTTAGCTCTAATGCACAAGATCCAGGGCAAGGGAAAAAAGTAGTGTAATGCTGCAAGCTGGCTTCAGTACTAATGCTGAAAATAAGCGATTAACCCTTCCAAGTCAAAGTTTCATGAAGAAGTGCAGTTATACTGCTGAACTGGCATGCAATGCAAGGCAGAGACACATGGATGGGAATAAAAGAACTGGCAGGGAGCCAGCTGTCAAATGCCATCCAAACTCAGTCTTTGAGGTCAAATGGCCAAACCCCATCGTATCAGATTATGTTACGGACTCGTATTATGATGCACATTGCAGTTCGAAAACAACATTCACAAGCTGCTTTAAAGTTAGTATTTCTGTAAACACAGGACACCGAAAAACAATGTTCGTTAATCTAATAGCAAATCTTCTTAAGGTACTGAGAAGAGCATTTTGGAAGACTTGCAGAGACAGAACTTTCAGAGGAGAGAGTGAAGTGCTTAAGTTTAAGTGTGACTACATATGTTAAAATGATAATTTCAAATAAAGGAATTACGTATGCGTCTAGTTGACACTAGGCATGAATGCTAAGGCATTTCAAATGAAGAGTTAAGCAGAACTACTTTTTCTTTTACTGGAGGTGATAACTTCAGGGCTTGCCTGTCACACCACTGCTATGATTTGAATTTCCTTACAAGCAAACTGTTGGCACCATTTTAATCCCACTCCTTTATTCTTAATATGTCATAAATGATACCCAACTTATTGTGTCTGTATTTTCTATGTGGAAAGCAAGCTGTGAAAATAAACTTAGAAGAAAAAAACTATTTAAAAAGTAATGGCATTTTATAAGACAGATTTTATTACTGTGAAAATTTAGTGCTGCTACATTCCTTCAAGACAATTGCTTTCATTCCAGAACAAAGTGTCTTTAAAATTCTATCAAACAGCATAATGAAAACCAATCACCTCTCCCAACAACTCACTATGAGATTTTGAACTATTGTAAAAGATACTTAGCACCTTAAAAAGTGCTGGACAGGTATGTTTTTTTACCAGGAAGCTCTAATTCATTGTGAACAATTAATTAATACTTTAATTGTATTAACTATCAAAACTATTCACTATCAATGTCATATATACAAGATGCGATCTTAACTTTAAGCTGTTGGCAGGAACTGTATGCTTAACCATTGGGAAGATTATTATTCCTTCAGTAATATGCAGATGACATTTCTCTGAAAAAATGAGACAGTGGAAAGAACATTTTTGTTTTGAAAATATCTTGAAGAACTCCCTCTGCCTTGTGCCCTTGATTATAAAGCCCCCTACTCACCAAAAATTCCATGTGGGTGTTTTGAGTGAGCATTAAATATTAATAACTTTCCTCCCCCAGTAGAAGGGTCTCTGCTTCTGCATTCTTTGGGCTAAAAAGCTACAATTATCTGCCTCCCTGCCACAGAACATCATGGCAGATTATCTTCTCCAGAGAATGCAGAAATACCCAAATATGGACCTTGAGACCAGAGCAGATGAAAAGCTTTCAGTGATTTTTATTGAAGATAAAAGCTAGCGTTCTCCAAAACCACCGCTTGCACAAAAAGTGGGCGTTGTGAACAACTATAAAGTATCCTTGAAAAAACCAAACTTCTTCCATCTGAACTACACTTAGAATTCAGTCAATAATTAATTTTCTTGTTTTGAGGGGAAAAGTAATTATTTCTGAAGGAAATTCCACATTCCAGCCTTTTCTGTGCCATATCGGATGCCTCAGTTCACCAAATCACCAGTTTTAGCCACGTGGCAGTGCACGGTAAGGCAATGTGGATCATAAAGGCTTCACTGTAGTTGGACTGAGCTCTTAAACCTGCCCCTATCTGCACAATTCATTGTTTGTCAGTACCTCTTTATATTTTTAAGCGGCCAGGGCAGTTTAGTCAGCGTTAGTAAGCGTAACTGGGAAGATGTAGCAGGAAAGGTTAGAGGAATTGTTCCAGAATCCTGAATTCACAGATGGTATAATGAGAAACATTGCAGATGAAGATTGTTTTCATAGCGCGTGGCACAGAAATGCTCACAGCAGTAGTTTCTGGAGCATTGCACAGCTGGCCAGATGCTGTTCTCAGTTACCAATTAAATAACTTTGCTCTGTGACAGGAGCCATCTGTTACTGCTCAGGGTTCTGCTCTTGCTGGAGTTTCATACAGACCTTATGCCTAAAGAGCTTGCTAAATGTACTGTGTCCTAGCTTGGGACTCTCTGCCTTCTTTTTCTTGGCTCCTTTAGTTTGGGATTCTGCCGGTGTCTTCGGGGCAGGTTGCGCACCATGGCCTTTTTCTGCTTTTGATCCCTTTTGTACAACAGCATTTGAAGGTGAGTACTTACTGCAAAGTTTTTTTGGTTCATGAAAATTGTTTAAACACTCATATACGTAGTATTAAAAACAAACATTTCCTTTTTGCCCTGGACAAATTATGTTTTCTTCCAATTACTCAGGTCTCCTTAGACTTTCTTTTACACAACTAGTGAAATAAATATAAAAGCTAGGGTGATCCAGCTGGCTCAAAATTAAACCACAACTTGTCCCCCCAAATTCTTCATTAAACTGAGACCCAAAACCCACAAAGACTGAGACTTATGTATGTAAACTCTTGAGTAACTAACTACATTGGGGATTTTTAAGTTTAAAGTAGGCAGATGTATAAATCTGTGTAAATACCTTCATCCTTTTTATTACAATATTATAGTGACTTTAAAATGTTTTGCGTAATGCATTAGTTAGGAAAAGGACAGTATGAATATTCATGATATATGCTACATAAAATATTTCAAGTTTGCAATAACATTAATGAAATTAGTTAGAAATTAAAGTATCAGAAAAATAGTAATGATAGACTGATACCAAAAGCTTCAAATCAAAGCGCTGCTTCCTTTTAATACCATTCTAAATATCTGCAGGAGGGAGATACTGTTTGGGGAATCATTGCTCACTGATGTTACAGACTGGATCTCTACAAAACTAGGCAGCACATTGAAAAATCCACTACAAAGGGCTATAAAATATAGAAACACTGATACAGGTCTATATGGAAAAAAGCAGCATCAGGCTATTTTTAAAAAGTAGTGGCAGACTACCCGCAGCTCAGCACAGACTAAATTACCCTGCATGGGCCTATTCAAATACATGACTAGTTGACAAGTCTTGGAAAAACTTGAGTAACATTTGCTAAAATGTTCCATTTAACTTTTCACAGCATTGGAAAGAGAATTTTTTGAAATCATAATTCAAGTACCTCCTCAACACTTCACTCTTCAAGTCACTGCTGCTGTGTGCTTGCCCCCTGCCCCCATCTTCAACACAACCCTCTGGATTCATCAGTGGAGAAAAAAGCTTACGTTTTCATGTTATGAACAATAGGGGGTTTTCTCTTCCTTCTTCACCTTTTTAATATTTTCAATAATAAAAGAGGAGGGACACAAAAACAAGTTTCCAAGGTTGCTTGGCTGAGCTTCAACACACAAGCAAGTTCACACAAGAGTCAGTTCTATGGTAACTGCACTGTACATATGCCCATAATATATGACAAATCTCAAATAATATGGGGTAGCATTCTTCACTCTCCAGTGTCAGGTTTTAAAGCAGTAATATACCTTTGATTACCTAGTACAAAAAAGGATGTAGTGTTCATTTTACTTACTACTTGCTAGTATCCTGACTTCATTCTGATCTCCCTTAGGCAATTTAGTTCCTGATTTAATTAAGAATCGGGCCAATATATAGTGAAGAAATACAAATTTTAAAAGTTATTTCAATGAAAATTTACTCAAGTGTTTACCCTCTGGGTAATTAGCTTTCCTTTTACAAGCTTTGCTCTGTTTACTTTTACACTTGAACAGGGCAAAAATAAAAGCTTCCATCTTAGTAAAAAGCTTCAAAACAAGTTGACAAAAATTTCTAGGAACTGTGGAAGCATGAAGAGACCCAAACTCCAAAGAAACAATCAGCCTACAGTATTTCCAATGTGAAGTATCAGGCACTGTGGTTGACCACAACTAATAGCATAGGAGGAAAGGTCCAGACAATAGAACATAACACATATGAGCACGTTAAGTCAAGATCTTGGTCTCCAGATTGTTTCATTCACTGCAGTTACATGCTTCCTACAAAGTGCTTTGTACTATGAAGAGGCTGTGGCCAGTCACATAAAAATTGACCATTTTCCCCTGTACTCTGTACAATTCCCAGTATTCCCAAGTGTACAGTGATGCCAGAACAAGTCAGGATCTGCTACGGAACGGTCAAACAGATGGTCCGGGGCAGATCTGATCTGAATGCCATCCAAACTTGCAAAGGACCCACTAGTCCAAGGAAGTACGAGTCAACTCCCATTAAACTCTTGTGTTTCCATGGATGAAGTGACAATCACTACAGCTGCGCCCAGGCTGCTGAAAGCATACATGTCTTTAGGCAGCTGCTTAAAGCCCGAGGCACCACAAATGACAGCATATTGCTACAAAAACACCGCGCCCAGCTTCAGCGCCGCACACCTCCGCGTTTCAGCAGCAGGAGTACGCTGCCGTGCTGTGCA